TTTTCAATATTGGGTTAGCATTGGATTGCGTGTTTCAGTCGACTGATAATGAGCGATACAGTTAGAAGCCAAAAGACGTGAACGCCTTGCCGAAGCTCTTCACATCCAGTAGATTCCTCAAAGGCACCTCTACAAGTAACTCAGTACGATGTAAAAATGAAATATTGTCAGTGTGATCAATCGGAAGCTTAATTCGTGTAACATAGTAATGCGAATGATTCATTCTGTGTCTCAATGTTCCGCAAGATCGTTCCCCAAACTCCTTGTTTTGTATTCAGTAGTTCGTAAAAGTTTATTCGTATGTCAGCAGCCATTCACTTGAAAATTATCTTCAGCACTTTTGAGACTATTTCTTTGAAATTTAAAAGATACGTGTGCTCTATGAATCTTTTGACAAATCTGTCTTAAAATTAGATATAAAATGTAGTGTATGGCCTTCTAAGGTCGTAAAAAAAATCTCGACAAGCATGACGACTTCCATGAAAAAAAAACATCCTATACAAATCGGATTACACAACATGTCTGGCATAGCTCTTGGGAACTGGGACATTTTATGTTCCATACTGTTTAAAATTTTATATGTACCTTTCTTTTTAAATAGATTTTTGCTTTAGTCCATAATTGCTTATTTATCTTTGCGATAGTTATACGTTAAATATTAATACCACACTAAGAAAGAAGAAACTAAGAAATCTCACAAAGTGAGATCCTCCCTGCAGCTCCTGCATGGTGAACACGTAAACAACAGTAGAGTAGTCTATATTAGTATCCTCAAAATTAAAACTGTTTTTTTTATTGCTTAGATGGGTGGACGAGCTCACAGCTTACCTGGTGTTAAGTGGTTACTGGAGCCCATAGACATTAACAACGTAAATGCGCCACCCACCTTGAGATATAAGTTCTAAGGTCTCAAGTATACCTAGTTACAACGGCTGCCCTACCCTTCAAGCCGAAACGCATTACTGCTTCACGGCAGAAATAGGCAGGGTGATAGTACCTATCCGCGCGGACTCACAAGAGGTCCTACCACCAGTAATTACGCAAATTATAATTTTGCGGGTTTGATTTGTTTATTTCAAGATTAACTTGTCTCATTCACCGCTATACAGTTCAGTTATTTTAATATCGCGTATCTATGAACTCCGTTGAATTTTAGTACACCTGATATGATGCCATTTTATGTTTTAACTACGAAACCTATTTATTTATTTTGTAGAGTGAATTATACGATCAAACATGAACTGATAGATCCGGAAATAAATAATACCATTTTTTAATCAGATTACCGTCCAGTAATTCTAATCAAATTCCAATATATTAAAACATACCAAGCTATTATAGATGTTATAATATTATTGTAATTTAAGAATTGGATACTAATATGTTTAATCATATACTCGTACATGCATTATGACTAGCAGTCATCGAAGGCAGCGGCTTGGCTCTGCCCCTGGCATTGCTGAAGTCCATGGGCGACGGTAACCACTCGTATGCTCGTCTGCCTACAAGGGCAATAAAAAAAAAAAAAACATATTCATACGTTGAATCATATCATTTCTATAATAAATGAATAAAGCGTTTATTCTAAGCCAATGGATAAAACGTTTCAAGGCCCATTTACATTTTCATTTAACGGCCGTATGGTGTAGTGGTAAGTGACATGGTCACTACAAAAGGGGGTCGCGGGTTCGAATCCCGCCAAGGGAAGATATTTGTATGATAAATATAAATGTCTTTTCCAGGGTTATGGATGTATATTAAATATATGTATGTGTATAATAAAAATCTTACATTTATTTCCGTTATCTGGTACCTGTAACACAAGTTCTTTACGAACTTATCACGGGACCAGTTAACGTGGCGTGATTGTTAGTAAATATTTAATATTTATATTTATTTATTTATATCGGCTTTATGACATTAAATTGAGAATCACAAAATTATAACTAAAGCTATATATGTATAGGTATAGCCCACATCATGTTTTTGCGGTCAATAAATAAACATTTTTTTCTTCTTTCTAAATATCCATCCATTACACAACTAATATACACTCAACCAAGAAACGTATATTTGTAAAGATCATCAGCTCTTGGAAACAAAGCTCTAAAAACACATTAGTACACTCTACGTCAGGACAAAAGTTTTTGCCACCATTAAAAGTTTAGGGCTCCTGAGTAAGTTGCGAATCTTTCCTCTAACTAATTTAGATAATGGGCTACGGGAGATCTCTGTAGAGCGCGGCGTCCATCCTTCCCATGAGCTAATTAACCATACAAATATATAAGATTCTAGCGCATTCAATGTAATAAATAATTTTTGTTTGACTATAAAAAAAGGAGCACTCGATACTGAGGTTCGAATTCAAATATCTCTTCACAACAACAACAAGCTTAACAAGCTGTCTCTTCTAATAGTAAGCAGTAGGTTATGATTTGTGTGGTCTTTACGTCTATGGTAATACGAAAAACAATACTATCTAATATTTTATTAGGAAAGTGGCTAATAAAACAGCGAAATAAAAATCCAACGAGCGACTTAGATATCTTATATCGATCTATACGTACATAATATATCCACAGTCAAGTTTACACTAACATTTCTCTCTGAAGTTGGCTTAAGCCGAAGTCTTACTTCAAGGAGCGGGGAATCAATTAAAACTACTAATAAAGTTCTAAGACATTTTACTTCTCCCCGACTTACACCCCCCGAAACTTCCTTTTAGTTTATAAGTAGAATTCTACTTTGCCTTCCGTCTAATTTATATGCGCGAATTGTTTTAAACATCTAATATCTACAAATTAGCGAAGGAACTCGATCAAATAATTTGATTCTGAAATGTTTTTCGAGATTTTTTAAATGTTATTTAACAGTGTTTCATAAAAACCGTCACATTCTTTCGTTGTAAGCAAGATATGTTGAAAGCCCATACATATATCAGCAAGATCTTTTTACAATACGATCAAGAACTCAACCAATTCAAATTTTGATATTTGGTAAATAGCTCTCAACTTTTTTTTTTATTGCCTTTGTAGGCAGACGGGCATACGGCCCACCTGATGGTGAGTAGTTACCGTCGCCCATGGACTTCAGCAATGCCAGGGGCAGAGCCAAGCCGCTGCCTACAAACTGTTGCGAACTGTTGCGAACTCGCGCGGCCTAAAACGCGAACTTATTTTTTTTTGCGTAGTTTATTTTATGACACGATAATGTTTCTTCATATTAGAATTAAGTGCATATTGTTTGAGGAAAATTACATGCGAGATTTGAATCAGGCATAGTCGCATCGTTAAATTAATTTCTCATGAAAATTTACTGGCGGCAAGACGTATTGTTAGCGCACACGGACAGACACCACAATTGTGTCTATTTCTACTGTGAAGCGATCATAGGTTCCACTTCGAAGGATGATACAGCCGTATACAATTAAATATTCGACCTCATGTCGTAGGGTGGACGGCGCGTTAAATGGCTGTAATGTCTACGGCTCTCATTAACCATTTAGAACCTCTGGTGGTAGGATGTCTGGTGAATGGCGGCATTTACCTTGTAGTTGTCTATGGGCTCCGGTAACCACTTAATACTAGGTGGGCTGTGAGTTCATCCACCCATCTAAACAATAAATAAAAAAGCAAGTGGACCATGAGCTCTTCTGGCGATTTATTTTTTAGTTTTTAAACCGTATTTATTTAAGTTATTTCTTTAGTTAAGTACATATTTAAATAGGTTTAAGCGTTTTTCAGTTTTATTTTCAAACATACAAAGATTAAATAATTAAAAACTAATTTCCCAATAGATTTCTCTATTTTATAATGGATATGTCAAGGCATTTCGTGCGGTAATGAAAATAACACATCTATAGATATAAATAATAAAACAAATACACACAGATGTAAATCTCATGTATTTAAATTTATAAAAAAACAAACGAAAACAAATAATAAGGTCTTCGGGCAGGCTGGTTGCACCACAAGCAGTGACGACAACAAAAGCACTCTCGTCAGCAACACTGGTGCTGTTCAGTAAAATTCGTCCACGTTGATACTACACTCCGAGGTCATTGCTGCAGACTTCATTCTAAAGTGAGGAAGAGTTGCAGCCCCAGCGGATGGAGTTCTCTTGGAGCTCGTTCCGGCTACTCCACAAGGACTAGTAGATGACTCCTCTCGTTTCCGTATAACAAAATTCAGGTTCAGTGTGATCAAAATTGTATATCCGAACCATTGAAACGTAGTAAAACATTCTGCCAATGAAATAAAAATAATTCAATACCGTGATAGATATCTTTGAATATTAAATAACAATTTCGGTTAATACCGAATTTATCTGCGGTATCTATTCGTTGATCTCATTACAAAGTGAGAGAACTTGATACAGCTAATGATATTCATAGCCGTAATGAACAGGGGCTCTGTGCAAAAGGGCTGCTATCTCTAAAATGGATCTTGGACACTTGTCGATCATGTGTATTCATGTTTGTTTTTAATACTTCATATTAGAATACGATTTATATATTTAACTTATTATTATAAACTCTTATATTAACAACCAAAGTTATTTACACACACAAATAACGTCTTTGAATTCTCTAAAAGAATGCGTGTTTTGCTTCAAGAATTCCATACATGATTTTACGTTTTGTGAAACAAAACATGGTGCAATGCATAAACTTTAAACGCAAGATCGACGAGAAGCCGTGGGACAATAAAACAAAGAAAAGCGTATCTCGCCCGGAGCGGTGCGGGCGTCGAGTCGGACGCCGCCAATCAGAAACGACGGGCGATCCTGCCGCCCCATGGGCCCGCCCCCGCTGGTACGCGTCTCGCGACGAGGGTGAACGAGACGCAGCATCCCTATAAAGATTTTACATCGATTACGGGGACGGGCGCAGGCTGTTTCTGTCTCACCCCTGGGCGGGCGACGTGAGTTTCTGTCGCGCAGTCGCGAACAATTAACGCGCGGGGCGGCGCGGCCGATACGCGTCGCACGACGTCACTATAATGTGGTTAGTCAGTGAGCGTCGGAGCCGAGCCGACGGCGACGGCGAGTGTAACGAAGTCGAAGTGAAGAGCGCGGGAGAGCCGCGCTGCTCGCTAAGCCAGCGCGCCGGCCACAGCACGGTGGAGTTCAAGAGCACGGCGTGCGCGGGGGCCGGCGAGCCTCACGCGCCGCCTCTCGCCGCCCTGCCGGACCCACAGCAGTTCAACATCTTCCCGGCCTTCTTCAGCCGCCAACTCAACTTCACGGGCGGCGGTGGCTGCGGGCAAGGCTCTAAGATCATGGAGGAGCTGCGGCCGAACCTAGTGGGAGGATTACTCGGTGTACCTGGCTTGCTGGACGAACATCAGGCGGATGCCAAGTTCCTCACTTCTGGCGGCGAGAGCAAATACACGCCCGACAAGAGCCGTAAGTGCAGCAACGCTTCTTCATCATCGGCGGAAGAATTCGGCGGTCTGTACGGAGGGGAACACGCTGCCACGCCTCCAGCACCTCCACTCAGTAGATCCTTGCATGACAACACAGGTATATTGATAACAGGTATCTTTACGAACCTTACTAACATCGAACCTCAAAAATTAGTATTTGGTTCTATCATGGCATTTTTGCGATGAAAATTTAAAATATTTTATTTCAATTCGCTTTACATTAAACTTCTTTACTGAAAGCAAAGTCTACTTTACTAAGAAGAGCTACAGATCTAAGATGAACCGATAAAACAAACTCAACGATATTTTATCCGTGCAGTGCAATCTCCATAACAAACAACAAACGATGGTAATTTCATCAAGACCTTCGGCTTTAAGTATCTAAAGCAACAACTCTGCTAGAAGTCAACATAGGGAATTAATGAATCGTTATGCACGATATAAAACTAAAAAAACATAATATTACCAATTATCAATACTTTATTATTAATGATCATTCATTGGTTTGCATAAATAGATATGTATATTATTGCTTCTTATTTGATTGCTTATTTAAATTGTTCGATAAAGTTAACAGGTTGTTATTGTGTGATGTTGGAAGATGGTTCAGAAAACGTTTCTGACATATGTCCGCAACGTAGGAAAAGTAGGCGGCTTGGCTATGCCCCTGGCATTGCTGAAGTTCATAGGCGACGGTAACCAGTCACCATCAGGTGGGCAGTATGCTCGTCTGCCTACAGGGGCAATAAAAAAAGAGTACCTCAAAAAATATTTGTTCTATCATATAATTTCGGAAGATTGCTATAGTATATTAATTAGCGTTGTGAGCCGTTCGCGTTGTCAATAGTTCCGTTTTCTTGTATCGCTTGGAACCTCTGAACCAACAAAGAGACTTCAGTTCTCTGGGTGTTCTGTACTGTACCTATGTGGAATGGGGGAGTGCTCTGAAGAATTGTTTGCTATGATCTTCACGTAACATGCTACATACCGTCTGGCTTGAGAATGAATTTGCCTCCACGGTATTTCCTGAGCGTGATAAGTCTTTCTTCAAACGAGGTTTGATGAAGATCCTCAGCGGTATACAGCATCTTGTGTCCATGAGCAAAGATGACCCTCTCCTATTGAATGGCCGTATGCTCGTCTACGAAAAGCCACAATAAAGGATGTATTTTGATAACTTTGCCGCTGTAACGGAGGTGGAAGATCGGGTATTTTTAAAAGGTAGCGGAGGTTCTCTCTCCTATAGTTCTCGAAGGGCTTCGTAGGTTCTCGGAGGCTCTAGGAGGGTCGATAAGGTTCTCGGAGGTTTGACGTAGTGATGGGTGACACGTTGTTCTCACAAATGACGTCAGCGTCTGATAACAAGAATGGCGCCGTGTTGTTATTACAATTGATGACGTAAGCGACGCTGACAAATTCACGTCGAACCCGTAGCTGGCGACGAAGGGCTCAAAAATTGATTATGTAAGCGACGCTAACAAATTCTCGTCGAACCCGTAGCTGACGACGAAGGGCTCAACAATTGATGATGTAAGCGACGCTAACAAATTCTCGTCGAACCCGTAGCTGGCGACGAAGGGCTCATCAATTGATGATATAAGCGACGCTAACAAATTCTCGTCGAACCCGTAGCTGACGACGAAGGGCTCGGCGAGTAAATCTACCCACAGACACACTGAGTTTCTCGCCGGATTCTACGAAGCACTGCGCTTGCTAGGGCTAGTGCTAGCTATGTCGTCAGGTTTGAGTCCCGTGCGCTCACCTACTTGTTAGGGTTACGCTGAAATGCCCTCTCAAGACCATCAGCTTAGGTAGAAAAAAGAAAATAAAAAAGTGCGTGCGTACAAAGTACACATGTCAGAAGTGAATCTTTTTTGGCGAACTAATTTGTAAGTCTTGCTTATATTTATACAAATCTAAAACTTTAGATTTCCGAGACTTAGAGGAAGGGAAAAGGAAGATATGTTCCCGCCAAAAGTCTGTCAAATGTCAATCTCAAGCCTCAGTGTTGACAGTCACGTTATGTTTAGATTTCTAAATTGTAAATGACTAATATTTTGCCAATTGAATTGACTAATTTAATTTCATGCTATTTGATTAAAGTTCCAAATTCTTTTCATTTCATTTCAATTCCTATTAACATTTTTCACAAAAAAATTATAAAATATTAGGCTGTATGGTATATTGTATGGTATATACATTTGCCTTTCCAGTTGGAAAAATACAACAACAACTACTTACTGACATTTGACAAGTACTCAATTTCAATAGTAGTTTGATGTCACTTCCGTTGCATACCTGCGTGACGTTCTGTAAAAATTTTACCCCCATGCGCCTAAAGAAGTTTCACTTCAAAAAGTCATGGATTCTTTTGAATACCATCTTAAACAATTTTACATGCATAACATTAAGGAAACAATTAACCTTAAGGAATCTTAGTCAACTAAATAGTGACGTTGCGCTGACATAAACATATATACCTACCTTTATTTTAGTGTTTTTCCAAACATTACCCTCGACAATTACCCTATTTGTTATCTTATTGTTTATACTGAAACTTCGTTATTTTTTAAGGAATCAGAACGAAATTCAGGATTAAAGATTTCACAGACTACATAGGAGCTACTGTTATTTACCTTCAGCTCAATATGATGATTCACCCGTGAGAAGCCAGGGCGAGTCGCTAACTTAATAATAACAAAAAAAGTTTTTCCTAATTTTTTTTAAATGTACAACAAAAGTTAAGTTAAAATCAACGAAAGTAAATAATAGTTTAAAAAAACTAAAAAACGTGGGTTGCATGGTGTTATTCGTTATAAATATTTTTCTGACATATATGAGTAGAAGAATTATTAGTTCAATAATATCTTTAAAAGCACCCCACGGTTTTTTTTAAATAAAATATATATTACACTATTTCCAATTTAAATTTATTAAATATTATTTTCTATTTTTTAGTGAAAATTTCTATAAAAGCGTATTTTTAAAACTATTAAGTACTTTAACATCAATTCCTGCCTTATCGACTATACATAAAAATTATATTTACGGCCGTCTGGTGTAGTGGTAAGTGACATAGTCACTACACAAGGGGATCGCAGGTTCGAATCCCGCCAAGGGAAGATATTTGTATGATAAATATAAATGTGTTTTCCAGGGTTATGGATGTATATTAAATATATGTATGTGTATAATAAAAATCTTACATTTATTTCCGTTATCTGGTACCTGTAACACAAGTTCTTTACGAACTTAGCACGGGACCAGTTAACGTGGCGTGATTGTTAGTAAATATTTATATATTTATTTATATATTCTATAAATTGGCAAAAAACTTCTTTTGCAAATTGAATAATGGAATAATCTTATCAAATTAGTGTATTGTCATCGGTCCTCGATAAATCTACAAAGTTTGAATGAAATCTGACCGTTTAAAGTGGGTCAAAATCGCGTCTAAAGGAGTCAGTTATAAACATACAAACATACATACAAGTGAAACTAATATAAAGCGTGTAAAAAGGAGCTGGACAGAAAAAAATATATAAAATTTTATAATTTGTACAGATTTTTACATTGGATTCAGTATGCGGTATAATATAATATGCATTTTACTTATTCGTGTGTTTATGTAACGTAACACAAAAATCTGAATACATAGTTACTTAATTTCATTACTATCACAAACTACCAATTTATTTCTTTATATATGGTTGCCTGTAAAAATAAATCCAAGGGATAAGGCCGTAATCATTATATTGTTTTGAAGCCTTTATTTGACTAAAACTTTCTTTAAATCAGTTTTACTGTAGTCTCGCCGTAGATAGCCAGACTAGCTCTCTCAACTCTCTTATTATAAATCCCAGCTCTTCAAACTAAAACGTTTAGGTATCCATCAACGTAGAATCTGTTATCTTATTTATTAAATCTAAGTCGTCGTTGCCTAAAGGATAAGACTTCCTGTACATTCGTGTTGAGCGATTTACCGGTGTTCGAATCCCAGACGGGAACCAATTCTTCTAATGAAATACGTACTCAATAAATGTTCACGATTGACTTCCACCACAGAAATAAATTAAGATCAAAATCAATCTTGATATTATTTCTGTGACTTGCACAGTGAAGGAATAACATCGTGTTATAAAAATTAAACCCGCAAAATTATAATTTGCGTCATTACTGGGGGTAGGACATCTTGTGACTTCGCACGGGTAGGTATCACCACCCTACCTATTTCTGCCGTGAAGCAGTAATGCGGTTCGGTTTGAAGGGTGTAGCAGCCGTTCTAACTATACTGAGACCTCAGACTTATTATAATTTTACGGGTTTTGATTTTTATTACACGATATTATTCCTTCACCGTGGAAGTCAATCGTAAGCATTTGTTCGGTACGTATATCATTAGAAAAACTAGTACTTGCCTGCGGGATTCGAACACCGGTGCATCGCAAGATACGAGTGAATCGGACGTCTTATCCTTTAGGCCACGACGACTTCAAATTCATTTAAATCGATTATAAATACGAATACCGATATTTTAATACTTTAAAACCAATTAGTAGGGGCACTAACAATCTCCCCCTCCAGTCGCGCTCTTTGTGCCTAAAGGTGACCCCCTCCATCCATGACTTTCGCCCTGCCAATGTTGTGCCATCTCGTCCTGGCTTCGGCTACTCTAAGAGCATCGTAGACGGTAGAATCGAGGGTGATGCGGACCTAGTTAGACTAACGCATCGGACTGCGCCCCCGCCCTCTCTTTCCTTCCGCCTTGCCAGTAATCACCAGTTTATCAAGGTTGTCTTCGTCCTTCCTGCCAACATGTCCGAAGTACTGTAAGGTTCACTTGAAACAAATGCTAGATAGCCCTGTTTTAATTTCGAGCTTCACGGGTATAATTTATCTGTAATGCGGTTCATGGCATCCGCAACAATTGCCTCCAGCCCTAATAATATGAGAAAAAATTTCAAAGGTAAATAATTCAAATATCCCAGAGAAAATACGTGAAAGACAGCGTCAATGGTGCTAATATTGGTTACGTCAACAGAATAGCTTTTCATTCAGTTACAATGACACAGAAAAACAAACACGAGGTCGCCCTGA